CGGTGCCCGCTCGGTCTTCGAGCGCTGGATGCAGTGGGAGCCGGAAGAGGCGGCTTGGAGCTCATACATCAAGTTGGAGAAGAGGCACGGCGAATTTGAAAGATGCCGGGCAATCTTTGAGCGCTTCACCGTCGTTCATCCGGAACCCAAGAACTGGATCAAATGGGCCAAGTTTGAGGAGGAGAACGGCACCAGCGACCTCGTGCGCGATGTCTACGGTACCGCCGTTACAACATTGGGAGACGACTTCATGGATGAGAAACTTTTCATGGCATACGCGAAGTTTGAAGCGAGGCTGAAAGAATTGGAACGTGCCCGAGCCATCTACAAGTTCGCCCTTGATCGTATGCCACGATCAAAATCGGTCAACTTACACAAAGCCTTCACAACCTTTGAGAAGCAATACGGGGACCGGGACGGGATTGAAGACGTAATAATGTCGAAACGACGTGTACACTACGAGGAGCAAATCAAGGAGAACCCCAAGAACTACGACAGCTGGATCGATTTCGCTCGGCTGGAAGAGACCTCGGGCAACCCCGACCGAGTCCGAGACATATACGAGAGAGCGATCGCCCAGATACCACCCACACAGGAGAAGCGTCACTGGAGGCGGTACATATATCTTTGGCTGTTCTACGCAGTCTGGGAGGAGACAGTTTCGCACGATATCGAGCGAACACGTCAAATCTACCAAGAGTGCATACGTTTGCTACCACACAAGCGCTTCACGTTCGCCAAAGTATGGCTGGCTTTTGCTCATTTCCTCGTGCGACAAGGAGAGCTCACCGCTGCACGCAAGCTGCTGGGTCAAAGTTTGGGCATGTGTCCAAAGGACAAGCTCTTCAAGGGCTACATCGAACTGGAGATGAAGCTCTTCGAGTTCAACCGCTGTCGGCAGCTTTACACCAAGTACATCGAGTGGAACGGCTCAAACTGCCACACATGGATCAACTTCGCCAACCTGGAGCGTGGTCTCGATGATCTCGACCGTGCGCGGAGCATCTTCGAAATCGCCGTCGACACGCAAGAAATGGACATGCCGGAAGTTCTATGGAAAGCATACATCGATTTCGAAGAAGAAGAAGGCGAATACGGCCGCACACGCGCACTATACGAGCGCCTCCTCGAAAAGACCGACCACGTCAAAGTCTGGTTGTCCTACGCGCAATTCGAACTCGGCGTACCCGACGAGACCACCCCCGAAGACGACGAAACAATCAGCGAGCTCGCCAAATCCCGCGCTCGCGAGGTCTTCACCCGCGCGCACACCAGACTCAAGGAGAAGGACCTCAAGGAAGACCGCGTGGCGCTCCTCAGCGCCTGGAAGGCATTCGAAGATGTTCACGGAACAACAGAGGACAAGGACAAGATCGAGAAACAGATGCCCCGCAAGGTCAAGAAGAGGAGAAAGTTGGACGACGACAGCTTCGAGGAATACGTCGATTACGTTTTCCCGGCCGACGACGAGAGTGCGGCGAAGTTGGCGAAGCTTATGGCGAATGCGCAGAGGTGGAAGATGGCGCAGGCTGCAAAGGCGGCTGCAGAAGAGAATGGGGATGGTGCGGACGGCAACGGCGAGTGAGGAGATTTGTGGTGTTTGGTTTGGACTGTGTGCGTAAAGTAGAGGGAATCAACATTGCATGCAGGTCAACAGTTATCATCTACTTCGTCATGTTAAGACTGACTCAATATACAACGAATCTGATATGCATATGTCGAAGATTTGCAATCTCAAAGGCGTTGCCGTAATCATCTGGCGCCATCATGCTCATGCAGGCGTAGTGCCAATGACGTCGTGTAGCTCCAATGGGAATTGCCTCGGCATCTTCCCCGGATTCTGCAACCTCCGCATACGACTCCGCAAGCTCTACTACCCATTTGACCAATACATAACACTCGCAACTGTGAAAGCTCTATCAACACGCTACAGTAGGCATCAAAAATACTTTTAAGACTTTAAAGGAAGCTTTCACGATGCCAACCGCAGTTGCGAAGGTCCAGCGGCAGGGAATGAGCAAGGAGCTCTCTGAGCCTTTACCCGAGCCGGAGACTTTTGAGGGATTGAAGGGGGTCAGGGAGATCGCGGGGGATCTGGGTAATCAGTGAGTGTGGGGAGTGCCCGTGCAGTTGTAGCTGGACGCGCTTGTGCTAATGACAAGCAGACGCGTCAAAGACAAGGTCATCATCGTTACTGGTATGCCCGCCATCCCCAGCACTTCCCGTACAGAGACAACGTCTAACAGCATTATTAGGTGCAAACTCAGAGATAGGCATCGGCCGTGCAAGCACGCATCAATTCGCGCGCAACGGCGCCCGCGCAATCTACGTATGCGACTTCGCCGACAACCACCTCGAGACACACAAGCGCCAGCTCAACACCCTCTACCCCTCCACCGAAGTCCACATCCGGCAATTCGATGCCGCAGACGAGGCATCCGTACAAAAAGTCTGCCAAGAAGCTCTAGACACCTACGGCCGTCTCGATGTCTTCTTCGCCAACGCAGGAATCTCATCCGGCAAGGTATTCTGGGAAGAGTCAACAGAAGGCTTCATGAACGTCCTACGCACCAACGCCCTATCCGTCTTCCTCGCCGCAAAACACGCATCGCGCGCCATGCTCAAGACCTCGGATGAGAAACCATACCCAAAGGGCAGCATCATCGCCACAGCAAGCGTAGCAGGTCTCCGCTCCAACGCCGGCCCTACAGACTACTCCGCCTCCAAAGCCGCCGTCATCAGTCTGATGCAGACGTGCGCATACCAACTCGCCGGCTCCGGCATCAGGTGCAACGCTGTTTGCCCTGGGCTGATCGAAACTGGTATGACCAGGGTCACGTACGACGCGGCGAGGAAGAGGGGTAGCGAGAAGAAGATTGGTCAGTTGAACCCGCTGCAAAGAGGTGGGCAGCCGGATGAGATTGCGAGGGCGGTGCTGTTCCTGGCTAGTGATGAGGCTAGCTATGTTAATGCGCAGGCTTGGGCTGTGGATGGGGGGTTGAGTGGGGGACTGCCTTTTGTACCGGGGAAGTTGGCGTAGATCCGAAAAGAGTGCGCGAGGGTCCTGGTACGAGAGATTGTGGCAGTGATCTATGTCGGAAGGAATCATCGCGATTTACGTCGAGAGAAATCGTGATGATTCCTTCAGACATAGATCACTGACACAATCATGCGGTACTTAGGTGAAATAGGGAAATATTACGCAGGCTTCTCGCGCCAGTATACTCGAAACTCGTTACTGGCATGCGCATTAATGGCTGCAGACTGTTTCTGTTCACGTGTCGGTACACTATCAAAACTCTTCCATTTATCGCTCAACCAGCCAAGACCCTGTGCTTACGAACACACATCCAACGACTAGCCGCGACGTCCCTGGATCCATAGTACGCAGGTACCCTCAAGTCCCAACAAAACGAGAAGCGTGGTATTAGTATGATGTATCGGAACCATGGTTTGGCTCAGGGTAACCGAAGCATTTGCACATGATAGTTCGGACCCTTTCTCTCTCCCCATCTTCTTGCACTTCCATCTCATTACTTGTTCATCTCCTACGTTCAAGGCACATTAAGATATCCAGCTCCAACAAAGACAACTTTACCCGACAATACTACTCACCAGCGTCGAAATGGCGGAGATACGAAGCATGGTCCCAGAACTCCCGAGCATGATCGAAGACTCCCCGGATAACCTCCCATCGTTCGCACCCACACGCCGAGCCACAGTTCCCGGTCGTCGATCGCCATCACAACCAGCCCCAACTATCTACCTCAGAGGCTTCAACTGCGTTGCTAGCGATCCAGAGTACCACCTCGCACGAAATGTAACTGGAAACGTGCAGCCGTACTGGTTTGAAGAAACGCGGAGTCCTGCGGTCCACTATGGCCCCTCTCGAAGACAGAGAAGAGAAAATGCTGCGCGACGAGCTGGTCAGGTCGAAGACACTTATCTCGTCATTCCCAACACTGAGGAAGCTAAGCGGTCTGACAACAAGAAGGTGCAGCGAGAAGAGGCGAAAGAAGCATTTCTAGAAGCCATGTGGCCAACGATCCGCGACGAATACCTCGCTATGTTCAATCTAACAAGCCTCTCGCCAAAGCAAGAGAAGAGGATGAAGACTGACACAATGGTGTTTCTAGAGGAGGAGTGGAATATCCTGGAGGAAGAGCGCAGGACCGAGACTGAGAAGCAAGAGAAGGAGGAGCAGCGTAAGCCTATTGTTCGCTTGCCGGTTCGCAACGTTTCGGATGGGAAAGGTGCGTCGGAGAAGAAGTTCAAGATGAAGGGGAAGGGGAAGGAGATGGTGAAGGTGAAAGACGGAAGTGGGGTGGAGATGAAGGGAGAAAAGAAGGGGAGCATTTCGCAGAGGTTGAGGAAAGTTTTGCATTTGACTCCGAGGCCTGTAGTGGTGAAAGATGGGGTTGTTGCGCCTCCGTTTCATCCGGTATTGTGAGGTCGGTTTGATGACCGGCCTCGACAGAATACGAATTACGGTACTATAGTGGCGGCCAGGGCATAGTATGGGTCTCGAGCACGTCACTAGAGACAAAGATGGCAGTTTGCGGACTCCATAATCGATAAGACCGATTCATCTACTTCCTCCCATGGTACTGCAGCGATGCCGAGTAGACGAGCCACTCACGACTTCCGAGTTGCATATCACACCCATTTGACGAGGTCCTCTTTAACAATGAGTATCATTATTCCAAGAACTGAGCAACCAAATGTGCGCAAACTTCGCTTGATGTTGACGTATTTCGCGAAGCACGTTGTGCGCAAGTGCTCTTTCTCCGACACGCGAAACTGCCTTCCAAGTTCACCACTCCCCGTGACTATCTCAATCCACATTCACCACGACAACCAACTCCGCCGCCACATTCGTATTTGGCCGACTCTCACTTTGAGCTATGACCGCCCGAACATTTTTACCTTGAGCTTCTCTCACTTTCGCACCTACCAATCTCTCCCCCACACACTGGCTCACCACGACCATCGCAACAGCCATGGAGAGTCGCCAACCACCACCCGAGCGCTCCAGCTCAAACGACTACATCGACGAGACACAATTGTCGTTCAACAAACTCGAAGCGCAGAGATGGGATCGCGCATTGGAGAGCTCACAGCGCGCACTCAACCAGTCGATGAAATTACCCGGCTATCAAGACATGTGTAACTTCAGCGCACCCGTTCGGGGCCGCGACTTTCAAGGGAGTCCAGCCTGGTCTGAAGGCACTATGAGCGTTGGCGGAGGTGACGACACTTTCCAGTCTCCTTCTAGCGACAGGACTGTTAAGTTGAGCAGCGGCTACAAGGAACTCGAGGACAGCAGTGCGTATACCTTCTTTCCGACGCCTTTCACCGTCGCCGCAACATCAGAGACGGGTGCTACGAATGGCTCCGCGTCTTCAGTTTCTGATATCTCACCGTTGTCTCAGCGCCAGTCCTTCGCTCGAGTCGCGGTCGAGTCACCTTTTCGACCTGAGTTCGGCGGTCCAGTCCAGACTCCAGCCAACCACGGCATGAGGTGGTCTCCTGCGCAGCTACAGAAAGAGATCTCACGCAACTCTGACAACTTCTATTCCCACCCCAGCATATCCAAGACTCAGGTTGCCTCCCGTCCGCAGTCAACATTCCCCATCCCACGAAACATGCCTTTCGATGAGATGATCGTACCGCGCGGACCGAACCTGCATCAACGAAGACTCGATGCTAGAGTGTCAAGCTCACCGGGTATACCGTCGCCCCTCGGTCCTGGTCGTATGCGGGAGCAGCTCCACGAGGCAGACGTTGGAGATGTGTCGCTCTCACCAGTCCCGAACGGACGTCTCCACACGAGCGATCGGATGAAGTACGGGAAGACCAAGTCAAGCAACAAGGATACGAAGAACGTCTGGAAGAACCCCCCGTCTCCATGTTCACCTACCGTGCAGCGCTACGCATCCAGCGGCTCGATCGACTCGCCCATGTTCGACGTATACCCGCGAAGCGCTGAGATAGACGGTGAGGGAAACTTGACCTTGGGTGGGTCGCCGTACAGTAACGGTTCTGGACATGCGCGAAAGCACACTGATCCTTTTGTCGACCATAAGCCGTTTCAGGTCAGCACGGGGTCTACGACTCGCATGTGTGGAGTTGGTGCGCTTCCCCTACCGACTGGTACTCGCCCGCCGCCTGTCCACCCTAGCATGTATGACGTTATTCGGAAGAACCCGGCTGGCATTCAGATGTGTGGAAGTAACAATGGGATTAGCTGGGATCCCAAATCTCCGGAGTTCGTGGGCATGGTATCTGTTGATCGCCTACGTGGCAGTAACAGTGGCTTCGACACCGGATCCCAGTCGTTCAACCGCCCTCCGTTTGGTAATGTTCGGACGTGTGGAACTACGCCTTTCGATCACCCGTCAAGTGTCATTGTGTGTGAGGCTCCTTCACCCATACCATCACGATCTGAGACTCGCATGAACAGCGGCTTCAAGCCCTTCATATCCTCATCTCAGTCATTCGGCAAGCCTTTCATGCCCTCATCTGAGTCGTTCGGCCTACCATTCACCGCAACATGGCCCACCTCCGCACCCGCAACATCCGGCCTCGCCACCCCAGCCTCAACAGAAGACCCTCATTCCGCACATGATCCATTCTTCCAAGCCCGTCTACCCCTCCGCTCAAACCTACCCATCCCGCCTCCCCCACTCTCCACCATCGAAGGCCAGTTCGAGCAGTCCCCTGAAGGCCGCGCCCGTCTCGACGCGCAGAAGCCCGTCCGCTCAGCCTGGATCCGCGGCGAAGCGTCCAAGATAGCCCAACTAGCAACCCTCCGCGCCGCAATGGAGAAGCGGTACTTGGAAACGCGTTCCGACGCAGACTACGCATCCTGGAAGAACCTTCAAGCGGCGTATGATGATGCTACGAACCTGGAGAAGAGGCAGGAAGAACGACGGAACCTTTTCCTCAAGGAGAAGAAGATGGAGGCGTTGAAGACGGATGTCGTTGGGGATATGTCTGCGCATGCTGCGAGTCGTGGTGGTGTTGGGGTGGAGGGAGAGGGCGAGGAGAAGTTGCTGGGGTATAAGATGGCGCTTATGGAGCGTGTGTGTGCGGAGGTTAAGACTGATGGAGAGGAGGAGGCTATTACGGGCGAGATGTTGGCGACGTTGAGTAAGGAGGAGAAGAAGGCTATAAGGAAGCTGCTCGTTGGTCGTATGGAGCGCATGGCTTGATTGCGCTTCGTGGTCTGGTCGTCGAGCTTTTCGCAGGAGTGTGGCGGACTAAGAGCGGGGTGTCAAGGTTGAGATCTTGTGTGTAGACAAGGACTTGCTAGCGTGGTGTGCCACTCCAAGAGCAGAATGGTGCGGTTGAGATCTTGTGTGTAGACAAGAACTTGCTAGCGTGGTGTGCCACTGAACAAATAAGATGATGTATACATCACCTCCACATCCTCAAATGCTGTGTCTCACAAACATCATCTTATCGAAAGGTAGAAAAGGCAGTGAATTACGAACGTCTAGCACACATCAACAACAAGTCTCAACTACGTATCAGCGTAACACAACCTCCAAAAAAGCAATCCCAGCCATGGTATCATCAGCTCGCCGAAGCAACTGCCGACCCAAACAAAAACGCCCATGAATGAAAACGAGAAACAAGGTTGTCGAAAAATAAGACATTATGCACTATTGCCGCCGAGCCAGAAGATGCGAAAGGGCGACTTTTGGTATCCGATATGCTACAGTCCAACAGACAGGACGGATGTGTATGTCGTTGAAGAGGTATATACGCCGAAGGAACGCCAATAGGTATGATACAGTACAAGAGCGATGCGGAATAGGTGATGAGATGGTATGATGGGGGGTATCAAGAGGTCTAGGCTCCACGAGCCGACGTGACGTGACGTATGTAGCTTCTGCGACGGGAAGGGATGGGTGGAAGATGCTCCGCTCTTATCGATCGATCGACACTCTTAACCGTCCCAATAGACGGCAACGGCAACTTCAAGGCCGAAACCGAACCGGGTACTCAGGGTACCTCTGTCCGGCGAAGTCGATCGGAGTCGACGAAACCGAGCTTGGCTGTGTCATGGGAAGGAGCACAAGGTCAGCTTCGTGCATCGAGTCGGTCCACTGCACTTCCATCTTTCTTTGCTTCTCCCGACCCGTCTCTACTAGTCACCTCTGTTGTCTGGCGTAGGAACTTTCCTGCGAGGGCGAGAGGCGCGTGTCGTAGGGGAAGGAGGGGGAGTGTGGTTGTGGGATTGGGGGTGAGCGACGCAACGAAGGCGAGTTGCGCATGTTGTCGGAAACAAGGGTTGCCGCTGCGCTTTGGGTTAGGGGTGTTGAGGTTCCCGCGACGGGTGTTCCTTTTGAGGAGCCGCCGCTTGCTGAGGTTCGGTGCGCGGTTCGGACCGTCGATGGTGTCGCGGGAGAGCGGCCGCCTACTCCCTGCGTTGCCCGCGGGGTTGTACTGGCACCGCTTTCGACACTGACATGTCGGTTTCGGGGTGTGGTGTCGCGACTGTCACTGTCCGCACGCCGTCGTGGCGTCGACTTGGGCGTGGTCTCGTGGCCGTTGCTTTCTTTTTGCCGGGGCACAGACTTGCTGGCTGTATTTGCTCGACTGCGTGTAGGAGGTGTTGAGTGCGCCTGTGTGGACGGGTCCGTAAGTGGTGGAGCCTCTGCTGCTCTTCTGCTGCTTTGCCGATTGGGAATCTTGGGAGGAGTAAGAGGTTTAGTTGCTGGCTCCGGTCTGCCACCAGCTGCTTGTGGGGTGTTCTGTGCGACAGGCTCAGGGCTCGCCATGCCTCCGACGCGTGGCGTACCTTCCCAGCTCTTGCGCTTCATCATGCGACCCAGGATACCCACAAGCTCAGCAGCGTCTTCGAACTCAGTGTCATCCATTGCTTCTTGCGCGCGGTAGACATCCTTAATTGCACGTCGGGCGACGCGCCGCGAGGCATCGTGGTCGTGGACACAATCCCACAAGAACGCGCTGTGCTCGAGCGCGACCGACAAACGCAGTGGATGTGAGCCAGGAAGAAACGAGGTGGCGTACTGAGTGGCGGTGGTGAAGTACCCACTAGCTAACGGAACGAAGTTCAGGGGTGGGAGTATGAAGGAAGAAGGCTGCGGAATGGGAACCGGGTTGAGGCCCGGAGGCGCGTTGATCGTCGGTCCCGGTGATGGTGTTCCGACTGGCCCTCCTGCTGCATAAGGATTCGTGACGAAGGATGTCTCGGATACGATGGAGTCGATGGGCTCGCGTAATGCTGGTTGTTTGCCTGCGCGCTTCGAAGGGGGTGACAAGCCCGGGGGGTCGGTCTTGCGCCTATGTCCATTACTATGCTTCGGTGGTGATATTGGTAAAGGGGGAAGAGCAGGGTTGCGAGGATCAGTGCTTGTCATGTTCATTGTCGTGACGGGCGGTTGGTTGTGGAAGAGGCAGAAGATGTGGTAGAAGCTCGCGCGCAACTTGACGCTCAACACTCTGCATTCTGGCCCATGCTGGTTGTCCTGCGCATAGGGCAGCACGTATAGCTCGAGTATGGATAATCCCTCTCGAGACATCCAGAGGATATGTTGATAGGCCGAGAGTGAGGGAGTGTCTCGACTTGTGTCCAGCTTGCGAAGCTTCCTGGCGCGGATGAGTCTTCGGGCCAGAAGAACTGACAGGCCCAGGATCTGGTAGAGAGCGCTGGACAGGAATGGACTTGTTTCTTCAGTCTGCTTGGCTATCCGACCAAGGAACTTCTGGTCAAAGTCCAGAGATGCCATGGTTCAGTGATATAGTCTGGACGGTTCGTAAGTCAAAGCTGAGATGCAACAGGGGGAAAGCGGATTGGTGATGGTTTGGCAATGGGTTTGGCAATGAAAAGGACTCAGATGAATGCTCGCGCCAAGTACAGGTTGGTCGTGAAGTGAATGGTAATGCGCGACTCATGAAGCACTAACCTTAACCGCCAACCCGGACCGTTGCGCTGTATCCTCTGGAGATAGACACAGTGCAGCCCGGCCCAGGCTGACCGATGACACCGCGCGATGATGCCGCGCTGGAGATGAGGCTCTGGCACCGGTGCAGCGCGTGCTGGCCAATTGATGTGTTTCGGTAGACGACGGGATGTCCGTGCGCGACCCTTGGACGGGTGAAGGTCGATTCTCGTGATGGCCCAAGTGGGAAAGCGCTACTCGGAGATTTGTTGGATTAGGCGATTGCGATGGAGGCGAATATCATGACACCGCGTATAGATATACGATGGTGAAGAATGACGGGCGCAGAAAGATGAAGCGGTGGAAGAAGGTCGAGGGAGCGCCACGGGTGATGAACTGTCTGGCCGACTGTCAGTCTTGCTTCCAGATCATGGGAAGCAGCAACGGCTCACCTCGATCGGGATATCTGGAAACGGATAGGGCGAGACGGTGTCGATGGTTAGGGCGAGTGCCGTGCTCTTATTCGACGGCGGGGGTGATGGCGGAGCCAATGGGCGGGCGCAAGAGGTGAGGCGCTGCGAGACCCTTTTGCGACAGGCTAGCAGACGTCAGACGTCAATTGCGCGGTGGATGTTGAGGGTGCGAGGCCGTGGACAGCGCATTCATGGCGACCAAGCCAGCTTTCCTCGTCCAGCGCGCACGAGGCAATGCGACCGTCTTAAGGGCCGTGACGTCGGCAGGCGGTGTGGCAGCGGTCAGTGCAGCTGTTTGGGACGCCGAGGAAGCGAAACTGGGCCGCGCACACTTGCAATGCCTCGAGATACTCGGATAGCCGTTCGATCGCGCTCAGGGCAGGCGGCGGGGCGTCTTCTGGTGATGCGCAGACCCTCGCGCTCGGCCTGGTGTTGAGGAGCGGGCGGCCGTCGCGATGCGAAAATGACAACTTCACCAACGGCGCAAAAAGGAAATGGCAGGGCGAACGCTGAGGAAACGCATGCTACCAGTAACCCGCGCACTCTATCCGGCCTGCTGGAGACGCAGGTGCAGCTCCTGCGTCAATCTGCAGACAGGCGAGCTATGGTGGGCTACGTGTCAAGCGTCGAACTCCTCCGCTAAACTGCTCACGTCGCTGCATGTCCTTTTTGCCGTTAATAGTTCAGACGGGGCGCTGCCAGCTGGCACGCAGGCTAGAGCTGCCTTCACTTATTCTCCTGCTCGACGTCAACGCCTCTCCAACACGCCCGCTTAAGAGCCTCGCCAACGCGCCCATGCACGCCTGTGCCTCGCCTGCAGTCTCAGATGAACCACACCGTTTGCCAGCGCATCGTTCCACGGCTGGGTGGGGTGCAGCATGCCATCATGCTACTTGTCCGTCTGCCGCAAGAGACGCTTCGACAGCCCTAACCATGGCGCTTCCAACTCCGCCACGGACAGCATGCGCTTGCGTTGTCACTCAGGCCCTCTACCCCACGGTGAGGACTAGCACGATGCATGCTGACGAGACACTGATGTAGACGGGCGTCCCTGGCATGTCAACATGTATCCTGCAGGCTTAGCAATATGCCCGAGTGGATCTCTCTGCGACTCCCAGCCTCGAAGGCGACATGGACCCGATACCTCCATTGGGAACCCTACCCACCATCTTTACATCCAAGAAAATAGCATTCATTGATAGATCCGAGCTATCGTCTCGTCATCTGCGGGATCTGGCGGCGTATCTGCATCGAAAGTCTCCACACGAATTGGCGGTGAGGCCGCATGCTCATTGGCTGGAATTTCGAAAATGCTGGCCTAATGTCGTCGGCAGCTAAGAACACTACTGATAGCCAGCCTTCTTGATTTCACGAGCATGACGGCACTAGAATGTGTGTCAGAGCTTTCAGCTCCGCAACTTAGTTGAAGCGGTTGGGTTCCAGCGCCGTGTGACCGGGACATACCGAGGCAAGGTGGCCGCAAATCACGACGACGATTGCGCAAACTTCAGCGGAACCAAACGTCGCAAGGAATGTCGATTGATTTCCGACGGTACGGCGGGTTTGAGGAAAACATGAACAAGTGCGGCGATTTTCCGGTCCTCAAATAAGCAAACTACCATGATGGCCGCCCCCGTGGTACCGTTCAGAAGAGCAAATCTCGCCATTGTCAGATCTGATGTTTGGTCATCTCTTAGTATGGCTATCTCCCGGCGAGTATGGGTTCGTGGGACTTGAGTAAGCCAAACAGTTGCTTCGTGCTCGCCTATCCGGAGCCGCCCGTCGCTGGTTGTGCGACGACACTGGCGCAGCACCCTCAGCATAGGTGCTGACTGCACTTGTTGAATGCTCACATCTCTCATCAACTTGCTTGGTACGACCTCAATGTCAATAGTCGACGACAAGCTGCGACCCATCTTGGAAAGTGGCTGTTGCGGGACTGGCATCCGCTTAGTCTTCGAAACGCCTTGCCGTGGTTGTAACCAGACGGATGAGTTTCTAATTGCTTGGTTGCTCGCGGATGTCAAACCGCGCAACTTGAGCAATAGATAGCAATCATACAATCATGAACCTATCAACGCATAGATCGTGGTATAAGAGCTGAGGCATACGACAGAGGTGGCCACAACATGGGTCATCTGGACTTCTATCGAGCGTTCTTATCCAACACTTTCGTTCCAACAATATCACGTTGTCAATCATCTCAGCATACGTTCTTTTACTCGTTCGTTGTCCGATCCGAACTCTATTCAAGGTAAGAAATACGACAGGAGCTCGCCAAGGTCACAGTGTACTGTGGAAGAGTACCATTGCTGACCATGAAATAGACTGAGTCACGCCATCTCATCCACCATACAACGAGGCTATTCAACTTCACGGTCATTACCAACGTCACGCAAAACACAAACTCACAATGTGTTTCTACCACGCCTACTCCCACAAGTGCGGACACACCCAGATGATCTTCCAGCAAATGTGCCCCAAGAGTCAGATCTCGCAGCGAAAGTGCGCACGCGGCCACGACGGCGTAATCCTCGCTACCGTCAAGGTCGAGACGGCTTGTGCTGTTTGTCCGGGCTAGACGAGTTATAGAAGGAGGATCTTTACTTAGCCCACCCATGCTTTACGCTCACATGTATCCAACATCTTCCCCGTTGCTCCCTTCAACCGCATACATCACAACCATTAGACTTACAATATACATACTTCCCATCCCCCATTTTCGATCTACATACCAATATGACGTTTTCCAATGCCTCCAATCATCCACTTACGGGAGCGAAACGGCCCGCAGCGCTCTTTCCCAAATTGTCAAGGATGAAGCTTGAAGCACCTCTTCTCGCAAAAGGAAAGCCCTAGCACGCAGGTAGCTACCCCACCATCCGGGCTGATCACGCCCACTGCGATACCCACAGCGACCCGACCCCAGATCTGCGTTCGCGAGTAGTAAGTACAGTCGAAGACAGGGATTCCTTTGCACATGCTCGCGTTCGGATTCGAGGATGCTCTAGACTTTTGTGGTGGGCGATCATCATGGTCGGGGTGTTTAGCCGAGGATAATGGAAGTCGCGAGACAGCACCACAACCGTGACTGCGACGGCAGCGTCGCTCCTTCCTTACCATGACAGCATTCTGGTTGCCCATTCTGTGTTGTTGATAGGCAAAATATCATGCGCCAAGCACTTCCAGCGAGATGTTGTCGCATCACGACACCGTCGTAAACGAACAACAGCTCATGATTCCCTATCCAACTAACGGTGCAAACGGCCTCTGCAATCTGCAACCTGCAATCCTAACCGAACCCAACGGTGATCATTTACACAAGGAAAATTCCCGTGGATTTTTCCATTGGTCGCACCTCCCTCGGCATCTAAACGTCCCGCGCCCCAACTCACGTTCTCGGTTGCAGATGCCCATCTGACATCCCTATCACCGTACAGAATACGGTCGCACGGCTCGAAAGGGTTGCACCTTGATTGCGGCGCGTGATCATGGATGTTGTATAGAAACAAAAGGTGGTGGAGGTCTGCATTGATGCTTCTTTTGGAATCTTCTCTCTGCTCCTTGCTGCATTCGCCTTACTTTCGGACGACGGCGCGGCATCCTGTGCGACGTACATGCCACTGCCGCGAAATTGTTTGATTCGATACACTAGATACCCGTTGACAGGTTCCACATAGTTTACAGCGGCCCGCAGACGGCAAGTCCTCCCTGTGTTGAGCCGCGCCCGCTGCCGGTATGCAGGCGGCCGATACTACGAAGATGGGGGTTGGCGCAAGCACTCATGATGAAACTGCACAAGTACATGGAGATTCTGAACCGAGATTGGAAGAACCAAAGGAGCATTTCGAGAATGCGTCTGCAAACAATGACACGACCGACCAAGCGCATACCCGCGACCCAGAAAAGACCACGCCACCCCCAGCATCATCACCAAACACCGTCGACCCCGAACACCCAGATAAAGAAAAGAGCACAGCAGAAGCCATCGCAAAGGAAAAGACCACCGACGACACCACCCCCGAAGACGAGTCCAGATACCTGCACGGCCCCAAACTAGCCATCCTCTCCATCGGCCTCTGCCTAACCACCTTCGTAATCGCCCTCGACAACACCATCATCGCAACCGCAATCCCGCGCATCACCACCGTCTTCAACAGCCTCGAAGATGTAGGCTGGTACGGGTCTTCCTACCTGCTCACTACCACGTCCCTGCAACCCTCTTTCGGAAAAGTGTACACGTACTTTGATGTCAAGTATACGTACCTATCTGCGTTGGTGTTGTTCGAAGTAGGCAGTGTTATAAGTGCCGCGGCGACTAGTTCGGCGATGTTTATTGTGGGGAGGGCGGTTGCGGGCGCGGGGGCTGCGGCGTTGTATTCGGGTGGAATGACGATTATTGGGTTCTCGGTGCCGTTGAGGAAGAGGGCTATTTATATTGCGGCGCTGTCGAGTATGTTTGGTATTGCGTCTGTTGTTGGACCGATTCTTGGTGGTGCCCTTACGGATCGAGCGTCGTGGAGATGGTGCTTTTGGATTAACCTTCCGTTTGGTGCTGTGTCGCTGGGTGTCGTGTTCTTCTTCTTTACAAATCCAAAGAGGATGTACTCGCATCTGCCGGTGAAGCAGCGGTTGAAGAGCATTGATATCGTAGGGGCTGTTTTCCTGATCTGTGCGATTGTTTGTTTGCTGCTGTGTCTGCAGTGGGGTGGGTTCAGTTACGCATGGAGTAACTCGAAGGTTTGGGGGACGTTGCTAGGCTTCGGACTGCTGATCTCTGTCTTCATCGGCTTACAGATGCGCAAGGGAGATCGGGCGACGATACCTGTTCGAGTGTTTACACAGCGAACTGTGCTGGTCAGTTGCTTATATTCAACACTGCTATCTATGGCTCTGTACACGTAAGTCCTACCCCCCATCCATGGCTACAAGCCACGCTCTAATACCCACAAGCCACATCTTCTACCTCCCCTTCTACTTCCAAGCCATCAAAGGCACCACCGCCGAAGAATCCGGCATCCGCACCATCGCCTACCTCGTCAGCATAACCGTCTCCTCCATCCTCATCGGCGGCCTCATCACCCTCGTCGGCTGGTACGCCCCCTTCATGTGGTTCGGCAGCGCCATCTTCGCCATCGGCGCAGGCATGCTCTACACCCTCACCGTCCACTCCCCCCCGGGCCAATGGATCGGCTACCAGATCCTCGCTGGCATCGGCGCAGGAGCCGGTGTCCAGATCCCGTTTGTCGCTGTCCAGGTTGTCACGAACGAGAAGGATATGCCTACGGCGAATGCTTGCGTCATGTTTTTTAATTCGCTGGGGGGTGCGCTGTCGATTAGTATTGCGCAGAATATCTTTGTTAATACTTTGAAGAAGGAGGTGCCGAGGTATGCGGAGGGGTTTGATGCGAGGATTGTAGCGAGTGCTGGGGCGACGAATTTGAGGAAGGTTGTTCCTGGGGATATGTTGCCGGGGGTGCTGCTTGGGTATAATGAGGCGATTGTTACGGCTTTTGTGCTGGCGATTGCGACGAGTAGTGTGGCGTTTTTTGTTAGTTTGGGGATAGAGCGGAAGAGTGTTAAGGGGAAGAAGATTATGGCTGGTGGTGCGGCGTAGATTTGAGAGTCTAGGGACTGGAAGAGGTCGGAATAGATGCCTCATTCGGTGTATGCAATCCCGTATTTTGGTTGGCCGACCTGGAAAAGGGTTCATAGAACCTCCTCGATCTGACATTTTGGGGACGTTTTGTTGGCTGGACTGCCTTCCAAACTCTCTTCAAGCCGGGTACAAGTGGATTTTGGCGCGGTACATCGGCTGCGAGAATCGGTCCAGGGGCGTCTATTCCAAGCTCAATGTCCATGTTGGGGTCTTCGAAGCTTCCGCAATGCTCTTCGGTTGGAGTGAGCTGTGAGAGCTCGGCGTCTGAGCTCTTGGTTGTACCTGGACAGGTATCTTCAGAGTTCTCACAAGGCTCGCCGGCCGAATTGATTCGCTGTATTTCCATAGATCTGTTGATTGAGCTCTCGCGACGTGAGCTATCTCGGAAGCTTCCCCGACCCTCGTCAGCCAGATATAGCCGCTGCAGCTCGGCGTCCGAGTCAGCTCTAGCAACCAGTTCGGACGACCCAGATCTGGTTATTGAGTATTCGCGATCCTGCTCATCCGGATCCAGCCATTGCGATTGGACTTCCAAGCCACCTGCATGGGCCAGCTCGGGCAACACAAATCTGGTCATCGAAGTTTTGCGACGCGGGGGTTTCTCAATAACCCCGATCAAGCCCCCAACAGTCTTGAGACCAGCGATATCTTCTTTGCTCACTACACCGATGGCTGGAAGTACGCCGCGGCTGTGTAGACTTGCTCCAATCCGAGCCATAGCCATGGCGTCTAGTTGGCCTGACCAGGTCGGAGCGCGATATATGTAATAGGCCAAATAGCCCAGGCCGAGTAACTGAAGACCTATCGACAACGAAAGTACTATGAGTGCCAGCCTTGATAGGAAAGGCTTTTGCATAGCGAAACCGGGAGAGGTATATATTATGCGACCCCCTGGAGGAGCTTGCTCTTCTTTAGCCTCAGAGAGAAGCGTTGTAAGGAAAGCTTCATTTGCGACGAACATTGCGGCGGTCAGCATAGTTTCCGGGTTGATGTATGTTTCAGTTACATCAGATGGAGCAAAAGCGGCAAGAAGATGTTGCGTAGCGAGCCGAACATGTCGTTCTCGCGCCTCTTCGCCATTGAGCGTGGCCTGATCAGTTAAGTCGCATGCATTCGCAAAGCCACTCGTGCGGACCAATTCCCTCTTGTGAAAGTCCTCGTTGAGCGAGCTCAGGTTTGCTTTGTCGAATAGCAACCCGAGATTCAGAAAGGGCATCCCGTGGCAGAACAGGTGCCATGAAGCGTCCTTGTAGTCTCCGTTGTGGCCGGTGACATTCGATGATGCGTTCGACACATAGTTGGCAGCCGAACTTAGCCATGAGCCTCTTCCGAATAACGCAAGCGCACTTGTCATTAGAGGACCCGGTACCTTCCAGGTCGACGGGTCAGCATCGTCGACGTATAGAGGTAGTGTATCAGGCGTCCCCCATCGCAAATATCGCCAATGATTCCCGTTGTTGAAGGCCACCGTCATCTGTTTCGTGTCGGGCCACTGTTCGAGGAGTGGCCCATACGTGTTGTTATTGTGGTAATTTCCGAGTTCAAAATAGCCCCTTGTCGTCGTTGCTGTACAACGAATGCTATAGCTTGCATTGGACAGCGTGGACAGCGGCTCTTCCTGGCGCCGATACGGATGAGCAATTCTTGTATGGTTGACGTTGATGTATATCTCCTCAACCAGATCCTGATGATCACGACTAGGTGTCCACGGGAAGGCGGTGTAGTTTCCAGGGACGCATATACGAACGTTCTTCTCAAACACACCTTCCCAGAACACAGTCAAAGGCTTATCACCAGGGCATGGTGATGGGAAATCATTTGGGTCCACCTCGTCGCACACGACGGACGAATTAAGCCTCATGACTAGCTGGCGTAGCACTCCAGTAGTCGTTCCCCTGGGAATGCCTGCCACAAAGAAGTCCGGGTAAGGGTCTGTATCAAGGCGAGTTCTTCGCCAGAACAGCCAATGGAACAATGAGTCATCAGGGATCCCCCATCCTGACCACTTGTCTGCTTCTTTGTATGTCGCGTCGACACTCCACATACGGAATTGTGACTCCTCGTCGGACAGCGATGCTAGGCCAGAGATCACCCGAGACAGCATAGGAAGGTGCTCCACAATAGCCATAGTTCCAGGCTCAAGGTCTCTCCCGATCTCTTCATACAGCTCGGTGCCCGACGAAAAAGACCCGGGGTCCGGAGAAGTGGGACATGTACCGTGTGCGTGCCAAGCGGGGACACACTCGCACGTGATTACAGCTGCTGTACCGACTCGTACTAGAATCTGGTATAGAGGCTGTTGTATGGCTCCGAGCATGATGAGACAGGCTGCAGGGACCAGGAACCTCGCCCTCGTCTTCCTACCCAGGGCTCGCCACTTTGCCGGCCGTGTCCGAAGCGACTTCCAGACCACCCATGGATTTGTCCACCCTCGATCTGCTATGGCAAACATGTCTTTGAGACTCAGGAACTCATCCGGTTTGCGCCTTTGACAATATATCACTGCTGCTTGCGCCAAGATTGCAGATAAGATTGGGACTAGAAGGTAGTTCACGCAGTTAGCAATGAGTAGCTGATGGGGTACATTGTATGTTACTTACTGGTGATCAATCCGGCGATGGCATTCAGTACATCAACTGCGATCTTCCAATTGCGCATGGTCGAGACCTGACCATCAGTGAAGCCTTCCTGTCGCAAGTACGATCTGGCGTTTATCGGCCGTTGCGCAAGCACGCATGTTAACGCCCATGGAACAACAAGAAGTAATACGTAGAAGCCGAGAAGCCAAAACGACTTGGTACGGTATCGCAGCGGTTGCGTTACATGTTTGCGATCGCTTTTGGAAGGCTTTTGTAGCCACTTGACAATCTTATCCATCTTAGAATTGTTTGGGAGTGTTAGTGGTAAGGTCACGGAACGAGCGCGACAAAGAAGATATCAGCAATATCCATGATCGATACCCCAAGTTGCGCAGCGGGCTGTGTTACTGAAGCATGTAAGCTTTCCAAGGTTGGCAGGGCTCGGCAATCAAGGAACCGCTTTGTTGATTGGATGAGGAGCTTATTTGAGCTTACTTCCAAGGCTTGTGTAACATGCAATATCAAGCAAGGCGCCCAGCGCGGGCGCAGGAAGACAACACAAACGAATTTACAGATTGCTCCATACGATTGCACTACGCCAGCGCTCCGCTTAAACCCGGGACATGAGAATGATTCTGTCCAATGCGATTAACTACACCTTTACCGACTCATTGGTATTTTGAGAGCTAACCTTGGGAACGAGGCGTTCCAACTCGGGTGGCGCCTAATGAACTTCGAGAACGTACTTTACCATACTTGTCGCTGCAGCCTGTAGGGCTTCAGTAGCTGCTGGGATCAAAACAATCACTCCAAAGCAGAGCCGGGAGATACTCGCAGTGATTTTGCCGCATCGTGCAAGCAATGGTAACGTACTAACATCTCCTAGGTACGATGTGCAACGCTCCACGTCAACCCATACTACTGCGTCTACTTCAACCAGCCTATACTAAATCTTCAAGTTAACAAAAAGGATCTTGTCACTCCGCAATACTTGCAAGCCGCCTTCGGATCGCAACAAAACTTGAGTCTTGATCGCGAAGACGAAAGGCAATACGAAGGCGCCTCTCCTGCATTCAGAGCAGCTACTCGACGAAGATGAAGAGGAAGAGGAAGACAACGGCATGGAAGAGCTCATTGCGGGCATTCTAGAGCACGAGAACCTAGACCTCGAGCCCAGCTCGTGGGAAGATTCAGACCTAATTACATCCTCTAGATTAGCGAGGATCATAAAGATACAATTAGAACATATGAACGGTGGCGAAGCATTGTAAAGCGAGAGATGCTTTCCAACTACAATGTTCGTTCCTTCCGTCTGGAGTACCCCACCTCCCTACAGACTTTACCGAGCCCCCGCTAGGGAGTGGCTGTTCGTGATGACACCAAAATTCTTTCAGGATATAGTTTTTACATTTCGAATTTTTTCCATCCAATTACAAGACAACATCGGTCGCTTAGCTCAGTTGGTTAGAGCGTGGTGCTAATAACGCCAAGGTCGCGAGTTCGACCCTCGTAGTGACCACTAAAGTCCTTCCTTTTTTGCTCTTTTTGCTCTTTTTGCCTCTTGGTGAGGATTCTATGTCAAAAACTCTATTCTAGAGGTCTAGTAGGTTGATCTAGAGCAACGTTTCCGCGAATCCAACCTTGCGAAATCACTATATCTGTGGGCATGACTGTCAATCTCTCTTTTCCACCTTCGCTCAAGAAGGATTCCTGGAAGATAATACCTAAAGCGAGACACGTTGACGGATTTGCTTTATCTTCACCCTATTTCAACGCCGTTCAAAGTCTCCGCCTCCAACTCCAATGCCCGTCCACATCCCTCATCAACCCCTCCCAAACCCCCCAATTCTCCGTCCAAACCCCATCCTTCATCTCAATCGCCTCTTTCGCTTTCCGCGCATGCTCCACTGCCTTGTCGGCATCTCCAACAGCACTATACGCCAGTGCCGCAAAACCATAGGCTACATCCATGAAGCCTTCCAACCCTTCTCCGCGGTAGATCGTTAGCAGGCCTTCCGCCATAGATGGTGAAGCTGAGGAAGTGGGTGACCAGTCGTTGAGTTGGGATTGGAGGGCGTGGATGTGTGAGAGGGTGGCGTCGGAGGAGGGGGATTGGCAGCGGGGGCAGGTGCATGTGAAGTGGAAGCCGGATTGTAGGTGTTGTTGTCGTTGTGATGTCGATTCCAGGGGTGAGGTATCTGCGGGAGTTAGAGCAATTTGTCGTTGAGAAGAGAGAGGAAGCTTACACGATATCGTGATCTCCTCGCCCGTAGCAATCGGTCGTGTAACACGTACTGTATGCGTTAAGAGGTTGGTGTCGATGACGTATTGCGCACTATTATTGTCACCTGGTCAGCATGCACGCTGCATATCCCCTCTTCATCCCTTATCAATCTCCTCTTGATGGATCTGCGTGAAAGGAACAACATACTTCGGCGCACACGCATGATTCAACCGACTCGTCTCCGGCCAAACCGCCAGATGATTCGCTCCCCCAACAACCACCTGAAACGTATTCGCCTTAACCACATCCTGCACCTTTACCCTCTCATCACCATACACCGTCGCCAAGCCCAAAAACTTCTCTTTCAATTCCCCGGGTAAATGTTCGATCGCGATGCGCCAAAGCTTCTCCCGATCTAGGGTCGAGAGTTCAGATTCCAGATATGCGATAAAGGCCGGTGTGTAGCTTGTTACTACATCGCCGAAGTTGAGGGACCGGGTGGCGAGCATGCCGATGCCTTTTCCGGGGAGGGGGGCTGTGGTGTAGACATCGCTTGGGGTGTTGACATTATCCAAAGCAAGGGCTGAGGGATCAAGGAAAGCGGATAAGGAGGCGAATTCCCGGGCTAAGGATGGGGTTGTGACGATTGAGATTCCGCGGCCTTGGCTGAAGGTATCGTCTGTGTAGATGCAGAGTGTATCATTTATACCGGAGATGTGTGGTGTGCAGAGGGGTTGGTGGGACCATGGTGCATAGGGTGAGTTTTGTTTATTAATATTTGTTGTGTCTGAGAGGAGGGATGATGGGGGGCAGGATGCGTAGTCTTGGGATCCGTCAAGTGAGGTTTGGAGAGAGAGGGTGTAGAGTGGACTTTGTTGCCGGCATTGTTGATGCCAAGGTATTGTCGAAGACGCAACGCATGCAGCGTGTGCTAGGAAAATGAGATGGTTCCGCATTTTGGATTTCCGGTAAGGGCACATGGGAACTGACCAGGCGGTTAATACGGGTTCGTGTCAACATGATGAAGAGCGTGCGAAGCCGAGTTGCGTAGGATGGCATGTTCGCGGATGAGACGCAAGACGTTTGGCATGTGTCGCTAAGTATAGAGCGCCAAGCCGTAGGCTTACTTGAGCGCAAGAAGCGTCAAATGAGCGAGACGTAATGGTAGTAATACAGAATTGGGTATTTTGAACTTATCAAGCTAACCTAAACACCTGTCAATGCTTTTATGGTGTTCTCCCAACAAGAAGGAATGCGCCCATACTCCACTCCCAGCAACGCGACACTGCCGCGTCGAACTCGCATCGCATATTACAGATCAAGCAGCCTCGCCCTCGGAGCTGCGCTTCTTCTTCTTCTTCTCCTTACCCTCGCCCTCTTCCCGTTTCCGCTTCTTCTTTTTCTTCTCCCCGCCATCTTCCTCCGGCGCAACGTATTCGGCCATTCTCTCTTTCCGCTTTGCGTCCATCTTGTCCTTCATCTTGTCTTCCCGCTCTTCCTGCACCTTCCTCTCCTTTGCATGCTTGCCCAGGAAGTATTCTCCGCTCTCGATCTGCAGGTCGACCTTGCTCTTCTCCTGCGGCGGCGGGAACGGTGTGTATGTCTTCTTCGTCTTGTCGGTGACTTTGTGGGGTACGCGGCGTTTGCTGAGGGAGCGCTTCTTGAAGTTGGGGAGGAAACGGTCCCAGCTCTCGTTGACTAGCTCTGGGTCCTGGGTAAAGTCAGTCTGGGTATCTCATATAGCTTGTGCATGTAGGGCCTACCTTGGCGAGCTCCTTCTTAATCATGAGCTCCTTGATCGCGTAAATGGGATGGATGTTGTGCATCGTGTCCTCGACAATGCGCCGGACCTGCTTGAGGCCTTTGTACGGACCCATAGCCGCGACTGTGTTTCCTTGCACCAGCAGGTATGTCTCCGTAAGCAGCTCCAGCGCTTTCAGCGTTGATCCATTGGGCCCCAATATGCGCTGCCGCCTCTTGACGAAGCGATCTTTGTTTCCGACCAGATTCCGTATCTTGATGATGTCCATGGCCACCTCATCCTCCAGAATCTTGACTGCTTGCGGCGCCGGCACGCTTCGCGCAAGCAGCTTGATCAGGTCTCGCGCATTCAATATCGCCGCCGGGTCGTATGTCTTTTGCGTCGTCCATACCGTCATGGAGCCCTCGACCAAGTTGAGCTCGCAGCCCACACCCTGTTTCTGCAGCGCTTGCGTGATAAACTTCCATGATCCCTTCAGATACTGTTCGCGATACTTGGGGAAAAGCGTGCTGAAGCGGGACTCGTCGGTGAAGGCGCCGGCCGTGTTGTCTTCGGGCTTGAAGGGCTCGATCTGCGCGAGCGTTAGAGGCGATTTCCTGCATGCGCGCAATTCTGGCGCGAACGTACCTTCCACTTGTCGATGTCATCGGTATCCCAGGGCTTCTCCGCATTGTGAGTGGACGGCATGGTGGGCGATTCGGTGTTGGTCGGATTGCGATTGGGTGCGGGTAACTTTTTTCTAGAAGTTGCACTTTCATGCCAGGCGCGCTAAAGTTCTGCCACCGCCCGGACCTGGCAGGGCTAACTCCGCAACACCTACTCCTTCACTCAATCTAGCATCACCTCATCGCATGCGCTCTTCTTTCAAGCGTTCAAACTCGTGTTTCTACCGGTACCACAGCTGAGATATCAGCTGATCGAAAAGGATCTATGGAGTGGGCGTATGGCGCTGAAACTGAGGGGAATATCCGGGCCATGTCCAATGGATTGGTTGGTTGGAAGGGGATGTAGCGGTCCAGATTCTGGAGTGAGACATCGGAAAATGTGATTGATGTGGACAACTTGCAGACTGTCCCAAATTTGCGCTGCACGTTGATCAGCATGGACGGAAATGAAATATGCCATGTTGCTCATTCTGCTTTCGCGGAAAGCTATCTACAAACTCCAACCATGAGTCTCAGCCGTGCTGCCCCCCCATCAAACGGTCGTTGCCATTTTAACAACATCTTATAGCACCTCAAACTCGTAGTACACGTACGCCGTGTACTCTTGCTCCATCTGACCAGCTTGTGCCATGTCAGTAGACAGAGCCTGGTCGTCCTTCTGGATGCGACCCTTGCTGTCGCGGCCGAAGGCGTTGCCGCCGAGGTATGCGTAAGCCGAATCGAGATTTGACTTCGCCTTCTTCGCTGACTTTGGATCGGTCTGGGAAAGTTAGCAGGTACGTGGTGGGTTTCGTGGTACGCCAAACTCACCTGGACTATGCCGCATACAAAGTCGAGCGGTAGACCGTATCGCAGCACCGTCTCGACAAACACCCTCAACGCCATGACGTGGATCCAGATCATGGCGCTTTCACTATATCCTGTGCGGCCCAGCCGTAACGCCTCGCCCCAGAGCTTCTTCTCGTCCTTGGCTAATTGTTCTGCCTCCTTGGCCTCCTCTTCCTTGTTGCCCTCCTTGTACTGGTACTCTCTCGGTGTCCACCGCTTCTCTCTGCACTTGTGCACAAACTCGTTGGAATGCTTCTTGAAGGTGGTGACAGCGAATAAAGTGAATTCTGAGTCTTTGGCCAGTTCGTTGGCGGAGCGGGGCACGACCATGGGACACAGCTCTTCGTAGTCTTTGTAGAAGTCCTTTACGTTGTTGTTCGGGACGGCGATGAGATGCGTATCGAGGTATTCCGAGTCGCGGACGATGGATTTGGGGTTTACGACGTTGACGAGGGACTTGGTCGCGAGGTTTCCTGTGCGCTTCCGCTCGGCGGCTTGGAGGGCGCTCTTGGTCTGGTTGTACTGGCTGAACTTGGACTTGACGTCGTTGTCGATGCCTTGTATTTCCTGTCCTTGTCAGCTAAAGGTACAGCGTGATACGTGTGTAGTGTTCACCTTCTGCAGTGCGTCTATGAGTTCGGCAACGGACTTGTCGGCCCGGTACTTGACTTTGTTCCACTGGAAGTTGCGCAGATACTGGTCGACAGGCTCTACGTCATGTGAGCTGCTAGACAACAATCGCATACTGCGCAGTCCACCTACTGTCGTTGATCGTCTTCTGCTGTTGTATCT